AGCATCAGGCATTGTCAGCTGAGAATTTTTAATGTTGGAAAGGGGTTTTTGTGCAGAGAAAAGCTACCTACTGCTGCTTGTCTTTAAATTAATACTGTGTTTATTAAACTTATAAATTAAGAAAAGAACTAGTTTTTCTTAAACATTCAAGTGCAACTTGCAAATCTAGTTTTCTATTTATAAATCTACTAATTTTTGTATAAAAATAAGAACAACTTTCATTTATTCTGATGAATATTTAATTAACTCACAGGTTCAACAGATTACATTCTAAAAATGAATGCCAATTATAAACTTAGGTAATTAAATTCTCTAATAGATTTAAACTACATTTTACAGAGTCGAAATAGCTCTTACTCTCAAATACCTCAAACTCTCAACAGAAGAGACTTGCACATCTAACAAGCATATTGTTTTCTGTTTTGCTCTTTTTTTTCCTTTACAAATAGGGAAGGAGTGGGGGTGAGGGGTGCCCTCGCTCCCACCTTACTCTACCCTCCCAAGCCAAGAATATTTTTTTTCTAACCAGTTAAGCAATGCAATTCTTATGCCTTAATATATTAAACATAAATATGGTAAATCAGTTCTCTTAAATTTCAGATGCTACTTATGAACTTAGATTCTTTTATACTGTCTAAGTTATCTCTTGCTGTGTAATAAATCTCTGAAAATTTACTAGCTTAAAGTAATAACCAGGATGCTGAGTCAGCAGTTTGGGCTGGGATAAGCTAGAAGGTTCATCTGCTAGTCTTGTCTGGGTCACTCCTGTGGCTGCAGTCACCTGAGAACCCAACTGGGGTGGGGACCCAGGATGGCTTGACTCACATGACTGGCAGCTGGTGCTGGCTGTTAGTGAGGTCCCTGGGTTCTGCTCCATGTGGCCTCTCATCCTCCAATGGGCTAGACTGGGCATCTTCACGGCATCATGGTCTCCAGGGGTGACAGCAGAGGCTACAATGCCCCTTTAGGCCTGACTCTGAGGTCACACTCCATCATTTCCACCACATCCTGTTGGTCAATGCAGGTTACAAGTCCAGCCCAGATTAAGGGAGTGGAGAAATAGATTCCACCTCTTAATCGGAGGAGCAGCCAAATCCCATTGCAAAGGGTGGGCGTTCAGGGATGGGAAGAATTATCACAGCCATCATCGCGGGCAGCTCATTACTCATACTCCTCTAATTAAAATCACAAATCAGATAGGGCATATTGACTCAAGTGTTTCAAAACTTTAAATAAACACTCAGATATGAGCATGATGATCACTTAACTTATTCCTAAATGGGTACCAAGGTTCTGGGTTGGTTTTTGCCATTTTCCACAACTTTCAGAGTTGCAAAACCACCCAGAGGAGCAGATTCTCCATCTCAGCAGGGCTGGAGGTACAATGAGATTCAGGATCGCAGCACGGTGAGGGTTTCCTGCTACTAGTCTGAGATTCAAGACCGGAGCAGACCCAGGAGGATTCTGCCAGATCTAAAGAGACACCCCCTCCCCAAGACCAATCCTCTCCCCAAGGACTTCATTTTAAATCACTGTTTCCTGAGAGTCTTTTGAGTCCCAGCTCTACCCCATTTACCTGCCATTTTCTTCTTTTTTTCTGCCTCCTTTCGGTACATGAGGCCCTGCACCTCCCATGTACCCCAAATGCCTTGGTCGTGTGACCACAATTTTGCAGGTGGTAATGCTCTCTTTATATTTTACTTTGCCATCTGCCCGTGTTTCATTTTACCATTTCATCGGCCGATGTCGTAGAGCCATTATCTTGAGAGGTATGAGAGGGAAGGATAGATTAAGAGGTATTAAATGTCCAGAGCATGTAGCTATATATTATTGGTCTCAGGCAAAGGACATGCCCCTCGCCATCTGACTCACATAAAGTAACCAAGTCAGTGGTGCAGAGAGGGCCGCACTACCTTCCCCAGGGGAGGGGCCTCAGAGAGCCCTGGAGCTGGCTGCGGGAGGGACATAGGCTGCCCTTCCACCGACTTCAGAGAATGCTTGAGAAAGAGGTGGATGCTTGGGACATTTGGTTTGAAGTGTACAAAAACTTTAGATAGTGATGTTTATTGTAGCAAATTTTAACAACGTAATAGTAAGTGAAAGCCCCTGTTATGGGTTGAGTTGTGTTCCCCCAAATTCAAATGTCGAAGTCCCAACCCTCGGGACCTCAG